ACTATAGTCAGGCATGTCAATAAAGTATTAAACTTGTAAGGTTAATTGTGTATCGATTGGGTATATTTATATTATTTATATAAATACATATATTTTCTTAATGTATTAAATTATAACGACACCCGAATCACTCCCCTCCCCATTATTTAATCATAAACCACGAGCCCCCGACCGAGCAACCGTCGAAGTACCGGCGACCCCCCCGCGATCTCACCGTCGGGTAAATTCACGTCGAATATCAGAGGCAAGACAAACCGAAACAGCACGGATTCACATGAACGTGCATAAACAATAGACCACGCGTTAGACCGGTCCGCCGCCGGCTCCGCTACCGACCGCGTCACCGAGCATCTTCGCGGAATCGTCGAGCGCGTTCAACTAATTGTCTCAAATTTTCCGGCGAGATCATCCCCAGAATCGCCCCGAGCTCGGCCGACCTGTACCCGATTACTCCCGACCTACAGCCGACTCGGGTATATTAAGCGATTCCGATGGATGATCGTGGCCTATCGCCGATGAGACAGTAAAGCGTCCAGTACTGCTCTCGACATTTCCATTCCTATTCGATAAAAGCGATCTAGGGTACTTCCTAAGTGTCGGTCCACAATAGGTGATTTAAGCTTTAAGAAGTAAGTACATCTCGACCACCGTCCGAAAAGAACTGACTAAAGACGAGGTGAAACACCCGACAGATAAACAGCTGATCGACAATAACACGCGCTCCGAGACCCCTCGCACCGTCGTGCCCGCGCGCACCTATCACCGCGAACGCGTCGGATTCATGGAAAAGACCGCGAGTGAGTCTATTGTAACGATTTCCGGAATCCGCAAAGCTTTTCGCGAAACAATGAATACATTTGTACGTAAGATCAGATTCCGGGAAAACACGCTGTAAATATTGTACATAAGAAAAGCCAGTTAATACTTGTAAACAAGTCAGATTATTTTTAAATATAAATACGTGTACATAACAAATTAGCATTTCTACATTTTATTTCTCTCCGAGTAACCCTGATCACACCCGATCGACGTTATCCCGCGAAACACGCCAAGAACCGCGAGGAAGTGAAAACGTTTTATATTATAATTATAAAGGTACAAACAGTATCATTTTGTTAGCATTAGTTGATGCTCATTACCAATTTATATATGTTAACGTAGGTGTTAATAATAGAATCAGTGATAGAGGAGTTTATCGAGATAGCGATTGTGCAAAGCTTTTAAATAATCCACAAAATCCACTTAACATTCCATTAGATAAATCACTGCCTGATATAAACAAATATGTGCCTTATGTCATCTTAGTCGATGCTGCTTTTCCACTCCAAAATCATATATTAAAGCCTTATCCAACACGAAATTTAAATCATGATGAACGAATATTTAATTATAGCAGAGGTTAAGAAGCAGGAGGGTAATTGAAAATATTTTTGATATCTTAGCAAATAGATTTCGCGTACTACTAATAAAAATATATTTACCTGAAACTGTTCAAACTGTAACACTTGTTTGTTGTGCATTACATAATTATCTGACTAAAGAAAATGCTACTTATTTACATGGTGCAACAGATATTGAAAATATAGAAAACCATAATATCAGCTGCATGGAGATCTAATAATGCTCAATTACGTAATTTAGAAATAATAAATGCAAGACCTAGCAGAAACACTATCTCTATTCGTAATATTTTTAAAGAGTATTTTAAGGGAGAGTCCCAGATGCGCACATTTTCAATCGGACACACCACTCACATCAGCCGATGCCTAGGAATTTTCTAGTGAGCCATCTATCAAAAATTTTTTTATTTAATCGACCAATCGGCAATGTGTCCGATTGCACCTCATTCGTATTTTAATACTATCGGTCATGTTGAATGGCAGGAATATATGATCTAATTTAATCTATTTTAATCTATTTTGTTTTATTTAATTCATATTTTATTTAATTTTTAAAGAAACTTAATCATATATATTTACTATTTGTATGTATAATACAATGTATGTTAATTTTTTAAATTAACAGTTAAATATATCCTGTAATTGAAAATATCTCCGAAAAATTCATTTTCGAGTACAAATTGATCAACATCGTCGTTTTCGATGTTTAATTAATTTTCGGTTTCTTCATTTTCTACAGCTTTGGCTATCAAAGCAATAGCAATCATTTTTTTTTAATTTGGTATGTGACATATGAAAAAGTCTGAAAATTTAAACAGATAATTAGTAATTATTTTTAAACTTAACTATAACTATAACAATTTAATTATTAATGAAGTCATATTTATAAAATTATATAATTTGGAAATTAATTTTGTAAGTGGTTGATAGAGTTTATTTGAATGAAAAAGAATAATATTGTCATATAAATTTATTTTATTAGATTAATATTATAAAATATAAACTTATGTTAAAAAAATATATATTACACAATGAAATAAATCACAATAAAAGTATATCACAATATAAAACAAAATTTTATGAATTATTATATATATATATATATATATATATATATTATATACTATATATATATATTATTATTAATATTATATTAATTTTATGAAATTTATTATATATATTATATATTATATTATATATTATATATTATATATAAAGTATTAATAAAATAAAAATTTTTTTGTTCTATATATTTATACTATCAATTGACTAAATAATTTTTCTTTGTAGTATTTTTAAATTCTTTCTTTATGTTCCTTAATTCTTTAAAAGATATGAAATATATTTTTAAAAGAAATGAAATATAAAAAAGAATATTTTTAGGAAAAATTCACTCTTTGACAGAAAAGCAAGAGCCAATCAGAACTCAATGCTTCATGTACTGTTTACTATCACTGTAAGTTTTGATTGGTTTCTGCTTTCAAGATGTGAATTTTTCTTTACATTTGCATTATTGGCTAATTAAATAATTTTTTGTAGAACTTTTAAGTTCTTCGAGCTTTTTATATACTTTAAATTTTGAAAAAATGTGAAATATAGAATAAGAAAAATATATTATTAAAAATATTAAATATGAAAAAAACTCATTTTACTCTGTATCTGCATTATCAATTAACTGAATAATTTTTCTTTGTAAATTTTTTAAATTCTTTAGATTTTTTATATTTCTTAATTCGCTTCCTAAATATAAAATCCAATGCTTCAATCCATCTTCAACTTTTTATCAATTTCCATTGATGTTATCATATTGGTAGCAGTTTTCCAAAAATTGTTTTTAATATCAAAAGTATCATTAAAATTGTCATATCTTTTTTTTTATTTACTGGTGTTTGACTGCGTGATCTACTGGAAGAACTGCATGATGGACTCGATGATCGTACATTTAAACAAATACTATCTATAATTATAAAAAAGGAGAAACCTATAACTATACTAATTTTGCAATATTGTATAAAAACGTACGTATATCAAAATATATTAATTACTTTTAATACTTTTAATACTTTTAATACTTTTATTATTGTTTTCTTTTAAAATATCTTGAATATCTAGAAATTGTAAATCATCGAGTTTTTGAAATCTATAAATAAATATAACTTTACTAAATTATTAAATTTTATTAAATATTTCATTAAAATGTTTTTAAATATTTAAAAATTTATATTTGCTCACTGTTAATGAAGATTCTCCTGTCCTTTATGCGATATAAAGGTCTAAAAAACTCATTTCTTCAAAGAGTCACCATGATGTATACATCGTTAGAAGATGTACCATTTACTTTAGATTGTTTTATTTTATTTAAATGTTCTAAATATTGAGATAAATTATTAATCTTTTTCTTTATAACTTCGTTGTTATTGATTGTTGTGTTATATTTTTTGTATTGCTCGCTAATTATTTCTGTCAGGATACGATAGAGACAAAAATGAGATTAACACTGCGATATTAATTTGACAAAAAGGATATATTTGGCGAGCGTACAGCGTGAAGCTTTTTTGTGCGCAACTCAACTGTAATTGACTTCTAGCGTGGCGTAGTATATCACGAGATCTATCTGATATTCTCGAGAGCGCTATGTGTTCGATTTGCATCGATCTATTCTAATACCCCCTTTATCGATGTGAATCTGATATAAACAAAACATTAATTCTATTTAAAAAAAACTTTAGTTTTCTACGTTGGTTTAATACGCTCCTTTTATTTTAAGTTTAACATCATGACTGCTCTGTCGTGTTTAATTTTTGAGAGCGCTTTTGTGAAAACATCAGCAAGCATTGATTCAGTTCTTAAATAAACGATTTTAATTTCATTTTTTTTCGACTAATTCTCGTAAAATGATATTGAATGTCAATGTGCTTACTTCTTTTATGAAACACCGCGTTTTTTGTGAGGTGTATTGCACTTTGGTTGTCACAGAACACATGTATTGTATTCTTTGCAAGATCGTAACACTGCATATGGTTCAAGAATCTTTTCTTTTAATACTTCAGAAA